AGAGGGGATTTCTCCAGAAGTTAATGAGAACTCCTTCCGCATGGAGGGGTGGGCGAGGAAATGCAGACAGGCGGACAGACGGACAGGCCAAGACACTCTTTGGTTCCGTGGATAATGGGACACAGGATGCAATTATTTCGGCGAAATGGGAGTCAAGCCGCGCCACTGCCGCCTCAACTATGCGCCAACGCAAACAGAAAAGCGTTTCGCCTGTCAAGATAAACATTTTTTTAAAGAACAGCATTTCTTATTTCTTTCTTGTTCGCTGCAAGCAAACTGCGCGCACTCGGTGGCGAGAAACTGCCGCTGGCGCAACACATGAAAGACTTGGAGCGAAGCGCCTGGAGACGTCCTCCAACTGGACGCGCAGCCCAGAAATGCGGACGAAAAACTAAATTTCTTGGAACAAAACACAGAAAGAAAAATTAAGAAACTCTTTTTTTCCTAGGTACACTTGGGGGGCGCCGACGACGACGTCCGATCCCTCACATTCGCCAAAAGCGTAGTTTCCTCAGGCCGAGCGAGCGAGAAAGAGGAAAAAAAAGAGTCTGGGACGAAGAGCCAATCCGAGACCCGACGAATCAAACTCGTACGGTGTGCGCAGCAAAGCAGCGCTCGGAAACAACTGCCTGTTAATTGGAGTTCCTTCCTTTCGCTCTTCCCGTTGGCCTGGAGGACGGCCGGTGCAGAGGTTCAAAAAGGACGAGCGAGTAGCCGGGTTAGCATCACTAGCCATCAACATTAACATTCTTGTTTCAATTTTTAAATCGTCAATTTGGAAAGCAATTTCTGTCTGCAAGCTGGATGCATGACTGACTTACTATTACTGGATATGGCCAGCCAAATTAAAATTCCCGCCTTGCGAACATTTGAAACGTAATGTAAACAAAGGCCTAGCTTCGCGTGGGGGTAGCGGGGGCGGTGCGGGGGTGGTGCGGGGGCAGCGCGGGGCGGCGCGGGGGCGGTGCGGGGGCGTGAGGAGGCAGAAAGGACAAATGTCAGTGGGCGGAGCCGCCAAGTGAAAAGATGGGGATGTGCCCAAAGTTTCCTTCCATTGTACTCCTGGTGACAAAAGTAATGTTCTGCCGGGGCCTGGTGCGAAGAAGACAGAGCGAGTCAGGGGAGGCCAGACTAGCAGGGGGGGGGGGAGGGGGGGATTCGAACGTGGAGCTAGGAGTCTGGGGGTTGGCTCGGCGGGGCCCGGGCCGCCTTGGCTGGGACGCCCGGCCTCCCCTTCAGGAGTCAGTCTGTCTGTGGCTCATCCGAGCCGGGCCGTGCCGAGCCGGGCCGTGCCGAGCCGGGCCGGGACCGGTTCGCGTGTGAAATAGATAAATCTGCCGAGGTGGCGGCGCGGGTCTGGCGGCGCGGGGCTGGCGGGGCTGGCAGCCACGTGACGCGCCCGGGAACAAAATGGTGTGCAAAGCGACCCTGCCGGCCGGGCAGGCAGGGCAGGCAGGGCAGACGGGGCTGGCAGCCAGGCCGCCCGTAAATCAAACGGCCGAAACAAACGAAAGACATACGGCATTCCGTTGTGTAGCAAGCGAGCGGGCGAGTTCAGTTCCCCGGGACTTCCCCGGGACTTCCCCGGGACTCCCCTGCTAGGCCGCGCCATGCCACGCCGTCCTTTGAAGTCTCTCCGGAGACGATCGTCGCGCTGCCAGGCGCTGCAGAGGGCTTGCCTTGCCTGGCCTTGCAGCGCAATGAAGCACTGGGACGGGGCCTGGTCGTGCACTCTGTTGCTGCTGGGGGGAAAGGGAACTTCCATTATCGGCGCAGAGTATCGGGGCGGAAGGGTTCCTGCCCGCCAGCCCCGCCAGCCCCGCCAGCCCCGCCAGCTGACTCGGTTCCGAAAGGACCCGCACCACCGCCGGACCGGCGGGGTGGACTTTTTTGGCCGGAGTGTCCCTGCTTCCCGAATTCACGCGTCTCGACCGTTGCAGCCGGAGGTTTAGCCGGCAGCGTTGAGAGTCCCGCCGCACAGTGGGCCAGAATACCGGTGGAGGCGGTCAAAATCCCGGACGCGTTTTGAGCTCCAGAGTCGCTAAATGGGACTCGAATCGAACGTGTGACCCCACCAATGGATTGCTCTCCGAACGAGGAATCCATCGGTGGGGTCACACGCTCGATTCGAGTCCTGCTTAGCGACTCTGGAGCCCAAAACGCGTCTCGAGTTTTGGCCGCCTGCGCCGCCGGCCTGACGCCTGCAGAGTCGTGGGTAGGCAGTCCCGCCGCGCAGGCGTGTCGCCGTGCGGCCCGCCGGCCGGGCGCTCGACGCGCCGAGATGTTCCAAGAGGGAAAAGAAAACCATGTTTCAAGGTTTGTTTAATAGCTTTAAAACCTTTGAAAAAAAATTGAAACACGAACCGAAACGATCATGTTGTCCAGAGAATCCGTGACCGACGTTCGGACGACGTATACGTTTGGCCAAATGAACATAGCGTCGCTGCCGACGCCAAACGCCGACCGACGCCAAAGTGGCCAATTTTCTAAAGTCAAGGGGCGGGGGAGGGCCCGGGGTGGGGGACCAGCAGGGCTGGCAGGGCTGGCAGCACGCCTCGCGCGTCCCTCCTTATTAAATTCATAATGGCCAAACAATTAGAGGGCCGGCTGAAATAATAACTAGAGGCCCATCCATCCAATATGCAGGCGGCCTCCGCCTTCATGGCTCCTCCACTGTAATAGTCCCATCGAACACGAGCCACCTGCAGGGCCGGTCGATCGATCGGTGAAAAGTGGTGCGGTGCCGGGATTCGAACCCGAGTCGCTGGATTGCGAGTTGGCCGCGTAGACCACTGCGCTACGCGTGACAAAGCCGGTGGAGCTCACAACTGTGTGATTTAGTGGCATTGGCTGCCTGGCTGGCGGCAGCGCGGCCCCACTTGGGCCGGACTTTGGGCCTTAATTAACAACCCGTTCATACCCGCGTACCTGTCAGGGCTACGGCTACACGGGGCGAGATATTAGGAGCCCCCCACACCCACAGCCCCCTCTGGCTGCGCGGTGCTCACCCACTAATTTAAACAGGTTCGGGCTGGTGTGGCATGGCGTGGCGTGCCCGTGCGACGGTCGTGTTACCTGGGGATCCACCTCATCTCGGTCGCAAGTGTCTTTGAAAAATCGTTGTGACTATTTTGGTCAACTTTGAGACAATACTGCTCCCAAACTAAGACTGATAATCGCACTCCGTAACAAAGGCATGCTAAAGGAAGGTCCAAAGACCAACTGCCCGTTGAGGGAGCAAAATGCCCGCCTCGGATCAAACGCAGTGGCTGCTTAAAATCGGCCCAAAACACGATTTTTCATAGACATTTCTGAGCGTTTCGGCCAACTTTGAGACAATACTGCTCCCAAACTAAGACTGATAATTGCACTCCGTAACAAAGGCATGCTAAAGGAAGGTCCAAAGACCAACTGCCCGTTGAGGGAGCAAAATGCCCGCCTCGGATCAGACGCAGTGGCTGCTTAAAATCGGCCCAAAACACGATTTTTAAAGGCACTGTTGACCGTTTCGGTCATCTTTGAGACAATACTGCTCCCAAACTAAGACTGATAATCGCACTCCGTAACAAAGGCATGCTAAAGGAAGGTCCAAAGACCAACTGCCCGTTGAGGGAGCAAAATGCCCGCCTCGGATCAAACGCAGTGGCTGCTTAAAATCGGCCCAAAACACGATTTTTCATAG